AGCGCTGCTCGAGTATCGAAGCAGTCGCTGCATGTCATGCGTGACATGGTCGGCCAAGTGCCGTGGCATCGAGGTTTAGGCCTCCGTGATGCACGTGAAGTGGCACGTAAACCACTGAGCACTGCTCTCGTTTCGAAGCAGTTGCTGCATGCCATTAATGGCGTGGTCGGACAGAGTCCGAGGCATCTTGGGCACGGCCCTCCAAATGCGCGTGGAGTGGCAAGTTATCCACTGGACGAAGACTGCGGGATTAGCAGCTCTTTGTCGGATGTTGTTGATAATATCGGAGCTCCAAAGGTGCGGAAAGTGAGGATGACACCGTACGACGCGGAGTGCGTGTTCATTTTGGTCTCACCGAGACATAAAATCTCTGTACAGAGGCGACGGCGGCGCCGTATGCTGGCTGCAAGACGCCGGGCATCGACCCTGATTCAAGGTGTGTCTACCGTAGACGATGGCGCTCAGTTATCACCCTCTTCAACGGTATGACGGGGAAGGAAGATGGCGACGTCCGCCTCGTGGCTATGCCTGCAGTAGATGCTCTTCTTGAGCTGGACGAGATGCCCTTTGAAGAGATCGGCAGCGCTTTAAAGACAGGCGATTTGGCCGAAGTGGTCATTGTACGACTGGACGAGGAGATAAACCCGTCATCGTTTCTGGATGAAGCTGTCTTAGAGGACACCAAGAGAGTGTTGAACGCACGACGTGGATCGTCGATCCAACGGAATCCCTTGCATCTGTACTATCCTTTGGTAAAGGAATTTCAAGACGTCATCTCCAAAGACCCGCCTTCGGTCCCACCCCTGGACCGAGGTGTGCGTCATGAGATTGACTTGGTTCCGGGAACCAAATACTGTGTAACACGCCAATGGCCCCTGCCTAAGGGGTAGTGCAACGTCATTGACTCTCCGTGCGAAGCACGACGCAGGGATGGTATGTGAGAGTAAGTCTCCCCATTCGACACCCACGTTTTGTGTTCGGAAGCCGAACGGCAACTGCATGCTTACAATAAGCTCAATGCTGCTACCATTCCGGCACAGACGCCGATTCCTAGAAAGGATGTTCTTCAGATTAACATGGCGGGATGTACGAAGTACAGTGCACTCGACTTGGTAGATGGGTATTACCGATTGCTCGTGAGAGCGAGTGACATATCGCTGACAGCGGTAAGCACTTCGAGCGGCATGCTCTGGGAGTGGCTGGTGATGCCCCAAGGGCTGTCAAATGCACCAGCAACGTCTAATCATCTTGTGTCGCAATTGTTCAGGCCCCACAGGGCGTATGCTCAGACATAGGAGAACCACATCCTCTATCTAAGAGCTGTGCTCGAGTGCATGCGCTCGAACAAACTGTACTCCAATGCAGACAAGTGCACCTTTGGCGCATAGGAAATCCCCTTTCAGGGTGCTTCAGTGGGAAGCGTGGCCTTCGAGTGGATCCGGCTAAGGTCAAGGCCATTGTACACCGGCCTGTTCCAAAAAACCAGAATGACTTGCGTAAGTGGCTTGGATTCGCCAATTACTTACCCAAGTACAGCGTAAACTACGCAGGAATGGCCCGGCCATTATCCAACCTCCTTAAAAAA